TTTCCAATACTTCTGTTTTTCCCCTGCCTTCTTGGGCTGAGAGATCACCCCTTTTCTTTCAGGCTGATTGTCTCTATGATTGAAATCACCCATTTACACTGGTGGAACTTAAGTTTGCTCTTCATCGATCTGGCATTACATCAGTCAGACCAGATGATGTTTACCATGAGATGCTGTGCCGTCTTTCTCTCCTCCCTCTCTTGCTCTTGGTGGAAGTTGGAGCAGGCTGACTGGCTTTCCTTCACCACTATCTTGGAACTAGATCCTACTGTCGTTAGTCTTCTATCTATTAACGACTGTATGTAGGCAGTAACTGATTGTATGATTCAAACAGTTGTTTGCCCTATCCCAAAACCCTTGACATGTTTTCCACGGTGTCCTCGTCTTGTAATGAAAAATAAGTTTTATTGTATCCAATAAGCTGTGGGGTCCGGCATGGCCAGGTGGTTAGGGCGCTCGACTCACAATCCGAGGGTCGCGGGTTCGAATCCCCGTCACACCAAAACATGCTCGCCCTTTTAGCCGTGGGGGCGTTATAATGTGTCGGTCAATCCCACTATTCGTTGGTAAAAGAGTAGCCCAAGAGTTGGCGGTGGGTGGTGATGACTAGCTGCCTTCCCTCTAGTCTTACACTGCTAAATTAGGGACGGCTAGCGCAGATAGCCCTCGTGTAGTTTTGCACAAAATTCAAAAACAAACAAAAAAGCTGAGAGTAATAAACATTGTAACATAAATTGTTTGGAATATTTGTACTTGGGAATGGAAAATTTAGAACTTCAAAGTTGAAAGTGTCTGTTTCTGGAAGCTTTAAATTTCCTCTAAAACCATTTGCATCCATTCTTGCCACCAACAGGGTTTACACCTTAATCCTGAGCTCTGTTTTGGTGGTATTGTTCTTCCTATAGTTCCTGAGGTAAAGTTCTTGGGGCTTTGACCATAAGCTTACATTCATTTTTAACATTAAACAGCTTCATGTTAAGTGTACAAGAGTACACTTCAAAGCCTGGATTTGTGCCAGTTGGTAGTCAATTTGGGGTGAGCAATTTCACAACAAGCTTTTCTAAATCAAACCTACCATTCTCTTTTTGCCGGCTAGTTTTTTATAAGGATCGATAGGTTGAAATTGTCTTGGCTAGGCTATATATTGGTCACAGTTTGTTAATCCATCATTTTCTTTTATGTGGGTCTGATCCGCTAAGTGTGGCTTTTGTGACACTCAGGTCACAATTGCCAATATTTTACTTTTGTGCTGTTGTTACAAATGTCAGCAGTGGCACCATGTTTATGTGATTGTTTAGGGCTGTTTATGTGCAAAGAGTTTGTCGTATTTTTACATGACAGTGTAGGAATACTTAAATATAAGCTTGTAGTGTGTTTGTGATTATATAGGATTATTTACATTAAGATTTTGTGGTATTTTTACATGATTGTGTAGGATTGTTTACATGTAAGAGTGTTGTATTTTTACATGATTGTGTAAGATTGTTTACATGTAAGAGTGTTGTATTTTTACATGATTGTGTAGGATTGTTTATGTGTGAGAGTTTGTTGTATTTTTACATGATTGTGTAGGATTGTTTATGTGTGAGAGTTTGTTGTATTTTTACATGATTGTGTAGGATTGTTTATGTGTGAAAGTTTGTTGTATTTTTACATGATCGTGTAGGATTGTTTATGTGTGAAAGTTTGTTGTATATTTACCCGATTGTGTAGGACTGCTTATATATAAGAGTTTGTTTTTCGTTTATGTGATTGTGTAAGATTATTTGCATACAAGAGTGTATGTTTATGTGCTTGTATAGGTTTGTTACATGTAAGAGTGTTTTATATGTTTATGTGATTGTGTATGGTTGTTTATGTGTAAGAGTTGGTTATATGTTTATATGATTGTGTAAGGTTGTTTATGTGTAAGAGTTTGTCGTATTTTTACATGATTATTTAGGATTATTTGAATCTAAGCTTCTAGTATGTTTATGTGATTGCGTAGGATTATTTACATTAAGATTTTGTGGTATTTTTACATGATTGTGTAGGATTGTTTACATGTAAGAGTGTTGTATTTTTACATGATTGTGTAGGATTGTTCATGTGTGAGAGTTTGTTGTATTTTTACATGATTGTGTAGGATTGTTTATATGTGAGAGTTGTATTTTTACATGATTGTGTAGGGTTGTTTATGTGTGAGAGTTTGTTGTATTTTTACATTATTGTGTAAGATTGTTTACATGTAAGAGTGTTGTATTTTTACATGATTGTGTAAGATTGTCTACATGTAAGAGTGTTGTATTTTTACATGATTGTGTAGATTTTTTTTTATCATTATTATTATATTAACGGAAATATGTAAATAAGAATGAAGTAATGCAACAAGGGGGAAAGTATAAAATAGTCTTGTAAGCTACACCTGAGGATGATGTAGATCACGTTGAAACGTGTACATGTAGAGAGATATTTTAAAGTGGAAGCTGTATGGCTTCAATAAAGTTTTTATTGTGTAAATATAAAACATTATTTTTAATTATTTATCATAATTTAAAAAATGATTATTTACATTGTATTTATTTATTACTTTATATATTTAGGTGATTATGTAGGTTTGTTTACGTGTGAGAATTTGCATGTTTATGTGCTTGCAAAGTATTGTTTGCATGGGAAAGTTTGTTATATGTTTATATGCTTGTGTAGGATTGTTTATGTGTGAGAGTTTATTGTATGTTTATGTGATCATGTAGGGTTATTTACATATAAGAACACAAGCTTATAAGCAGTAGCAGATCAATTGTCTCAACCCAAGCAGATTCTCCCAACAGAATAAATGCTGTATCGCAAAGTTCTGTTGGATTGGCTCTCCTTTTTTAACTCTGATAGGTAGGTTAGCCTCTCATTGGAACACCCAATTACTGGCAATTTGGCCTCCAGTACCTCACCTTTGGGCTTTGGCAATGGATGCATTCAATGAGGATGGGATGGGATTCCAACTCTAGACCTTCCTTCCAATTCATATGTTACCCAGCATACTAAATATCATTTGTTCCAACCCATGTCAGGTCCTGTTGATAGCACCATATTGACAGCTACACCATGGTTTCTGCTTCTGCGGTACCTTCAAGAGTGTCCACCTCTTCCATTTCTTCTTAGACAATCTCTGTGGAGGCAGCCATGATTTAACATGTTACTCCCAACTAACCAGAAGCTCAAGCTTCAGACATAGAGGTTATGCAGTCTTTTGCATGGCATCGGGGTGTAATTTCTAAGGTTGCCATGTATCTGTCTCAGTCTATGCTTAGTCCTGCAATGGACATTTATCAATGGAAATTACACACATATCGGCAGTGGTGTATTGAGAAGAGATTGAATGACTCTGACCAAAAGTGCCAACCATAACTTATTTTTTGACCTGGCTCTTTGGTAAAGGTTTTTCCATCTCCCAAAATTGCCCTGTACTCATGATAAAATATTATTTGAGTCCCAAATGACCATTCCAGTTGCCTAACTGATATATTAAGGTTACATTACATGCCTTTTCTCAATACTTGTTTGTGACCTGATTCTTATGCCATGTATCACTTTTACCTGAAGATTTCATTTTTGTTGCTGCTAACCTTTAGACATAGCAGGTAGGAGTGGTTTGCACTCACAAGTACATATATTTCTTGCGGTCCAATTTCCCTAACCACTAACTTGGGATATAGGGTCTATAATTCCAATCCCAAGCAGTGGAACCGTGGAAATCTGGGTGGAGCCTGGCCAATAGTGATGATGAATCATGTAAAGTTCCACCTACAGTATATGAATTAAGTTCCGGGTAAAGAGCACACCTGTTCTAAATGTAATGCGGTTCCCCCAAAAGGGTACCAATCTTCTGTTGACACACCCATGATCTACGCGAATGCTTTCTATATGGATAATTCCCTCACCAGCCCCTCCATCTTATCAGTGTGGGATTCTAGTTGTAGTGTGAGAGGAGGTAAGTAAGTTTTGGAAGTTAACATTTTCTTAAATCGAAAATGTATTTCCAATAATACTTACCATCATTCACACCCTTCCTCCCCATTAGGAGCCAGTGTTAGAGTTTGCGGATTGAGTTAGTCTCGAAAATGTGATAACATTATCTGAATGTGGTGCTTTTATACAGTACCAGGATAGAAGGCATATTGACGTAGGTGGAGAGTATCACAAGACAAATATTGCCAAGGGTAATTAAATGAGGTATTAAAGACAGGAGCAAGCGAGAAAAAAGTCAGACCAATACTTAGATGGGCAAAGGAAGAAACCCTGGCAGTCGAGTAATAGCTGTAGTGTGAGAGGTGATAATTATTATTGGAAATACATTTTCAATTTAAGAAAATGTTAACTTTCATAATACTAAATATTAAAGCTCTGAACATAACTAAACTAAATATCAATATGAAAAAATTAAAGTATTTAGAAGCTGTTAATGGTATAATTTTCCTTGCATAAATACGTGGGTGTCCTTGCAGTCCCCATCAGTAGTGATTGGTAAGTGTAATTGTGAGGGTTAAGCATTAGAGCTTGTTAATAGAGCACAAGCTTATGAAAATACTTGTAGTTTATATATGCATTATACCTTGCTTACAGAACCCAAGCTTATATTAAAAAGAGTACTTTTTCAGAATTAGTTCTTGGATTACATGATACAATTTTATATTAAAAAGATTATATTTTGTAAGTGTTAGATCTTTTTGATATATCGGAAGCTTATATTAAAAATAGTATTTTGTAAGTGTTAGACCTTTTTTTAATAGAACACAAGCGTATTATAAAATTAGAAATTAGTGAGCTCTAAAGCTTGTTTATAGAGCATAAGCTTATGATATCAGTAGTATTTTGAAACCAATCAAACAACAGAGCCTGTTTGCAGTACAAAAGGTTATGATAAAATAAGCATTTAGTAAACAGTATATTTTGGTTAAAGAACACATTTCATGAATAAATAAGTTTCCAAGAGTCTGGTATTCATCTAAAGTTATGTTGTGTAGGAGTGCAGACTTAGACAGTTTACTGAGTGTATCTCAGCATCGATTACAGAACTTGGATCTCTACAGCTCAGCTGATATAGAGCTGCTGAAACAAGAAATAACTAAACTACAGGTCAGGTTTGAGGAAGAAAAAAGCTTTAGAAGTGAGGATAGGTGAGTTATACAGTTGAAAAAATTACTCATAAACAAATCTTACTGAATTTAGGATGTTGATAATCACTAAACTATGCTATAATTATATAAAACCTTTTAACATTTTTTTTCTGTGAATAAATCCATTAATGTTTAAAACAAAAAAAGTGCTATGTTAGATTTGTCATATTCTACTTCCAATCTACTGTTCATTCTGCATTTGTATAAATACATCCATTTTAAATGTTATTTTTCTTTAACTTGTATAAACATACCTTCTTTAAATAATACTCTCTTTAATTGGTATAATATTTCAGTGTTAATATCTTTGATTTGTATAAACATTACTGGTTTAAATGTTAGTATCCTTGATATTTTGGTGGTTGATTGTTACTTGAATTTATGATTTACTTTCCTTTTTCTTATCACTTCAGTATAGTGAGTAATCCTGATGTACAAGGATCATTTGTAGTTTTAGTTACAATTCAACCAATCTTTTACCATAAATGGAGAAGTTCTTTTAATTTAGAACAAGTTTATGTCATTTTCTGTATTATTAGAATAACAAATACATATTTTTTTATTCTTTTGTGTTTTCAAGTTGATTTGAAACAATGAGGTTTTCATCTTGTATGTTTTGTTCAGGAAGCAACTTCTTGAGGTACAACAACAATTCACACAACTATTTGATGATTATCAAGACCTGTTGCAATCTATCGAATCTCGCCAAAAGGAACAGAATGATTTGGTTAGCTAACTTAGACCTCTTGGCTTTGATTATTTAAAGACTGATAGAAGAAATTTTTGAAATGTTTAAAAAATCTTAAATATCTTTATTGGATTTTCTATTATGTTCTCTGTTTTTAAAAACAATATGCATGGTGAGGCAGAAGTTAATATACAACTTGACATAACAAAACCTACTGTGTAATTGGTACAGTTCACACTAATAAATACAATTGAAAGAAATTTAATTATTGTTTGTTTCAGAGTAAGATGTTAGAAATTAATTTATGTTCTAGATGAAAAAATTGTATAGTCAAGTGTAATTGTCTTATACTAAATTTCTTTTTACTTCTTGCTGGTTGTATATACAGAAGATTGAGTATGTTATATTCAAACAATTTTAAATTTGCAAAAATTCATGTGGTAACCGCAGCCAGTGGAACAGCATGTACCAGTACTACATTTTTGACACTGTTTGGCATTTCATAGGTAGTCTTATGCCACCAAAAATTGATTGCTTTTTGGAAGGGCATCTAACAGCTCTTTCTCAACCAAAATATTCATATACTCAAATCATAAAGATGTGTTCAGATTGTGGACATAGAATTTACACGGGAAAACAAAGTAATATGGATCAATTTTGGGAACCAGGATCATCCAGAAAGAGACTGGCATCTTGTAACAGATGCAAATCTACAAACACAAAATTCATTGGCAAAATCTGTCCACATGCCCCAGGCAACAATATGCAACATAATCAAGAAGGATCTCTGTCTGAAAATGAGGCTAACAGGTGTGGGTTTACCAAGGTAAGATATTCAGTCATATCTCCTATTCAAATATCACATACCTTAAGTAGCTGGAGAATGCTATTTTACTTGTGTCAAATTACCAGATGCACACCTATGGATTTCTGAGATCAAACTGTTGAAACAGGCAATGAAAACCATTGTCCTCATTCACTAAATAGATTATGGAAAGCATGCAGGATTTAGGGGTGTGCTTTGGACATGACAGCCTTACACTAGAGCTTTTTGCAACATAAAACACATTGTAAAATGCATGGTAATCAGATAGAGCACGTGTGGCACCATGAACAGTAATGACCTGGTGAGGCTCCAAAATCATTTTAATATAAACTAATCAACCTTTTTATTCATGGTTTTTATATCAAAGTGAAACATTGTATTTGAGATTGCCAATAATCCTTATAATTATTATTAAAATCAACAAAAAGATGACTGATAATTCCCATAATCATTTTAGAATAAATATAAATCTTCATAATTTGCTTTGTAGATAAACAATAAACGTAGAAAGATGCTAATCCTTGTTTTACATTAAGGTCAGATATGAATATTTTCAAATCCAATATACCATTTCTTTTTATTCTATTTAAAAAAGCTTGTAAATTATCATTGTAATTTGGTCATCATGCTGATCTACATTTTCTTTAATAAAGCTTAATGTATGATGAAATATGCCAGTGTTCTTCTTGATTGTCAAGTTCATGAAACAATCTTAAAGATAGTCCCTCAAGAAATCTTAAGAAAGGTGCAAAAAACAACCTTAAAGAAAATTTTACAAACAATTTTAAAGATTATCCAACAGTCTTAAAGGTTCATCAAGCACTATTAAAGAATGTTCAAGAAACAGTCGTAAAGGAGGTTCAACACACATAAAGATAGTCGAACAAACAGTCTTAAAGATAGCCTAGTAAACATTCTTAAAGATTGTTCCTTAACCAGTCTTAAAGAATTTCTAACAAACATTCTAAATAACAGTACTGTGAGTGATGGTGTTTTAGGTGACTTCTGTCAAAATTACTAGCTGTTTCATTAATTGCTTTTTGGAAGGATGTAAAAAAATTATGAATATCCTGATTATTTTGCCAGATATTTAAGATCATACTTCCTATGGTTTTATTGATACAGATATGTTTAAATGTTACTTGTATGCACACAGGGTGAAGAAGGAGAAGCATGGATTGAACTGGAGAAAAGAAAACATCAGGAAGAATCAGATGCTATCACTGCTAAACTTGTTCACACAGAAGAATTGCTGGCTAACCAAAAGAAAGAAACCATGAAGATGAAATCAGAAATAGAACAGATGAAGGTTCAGGTTGAAAAGTTGCCTATTTTAGAAGCTCAAGTATGTAGGTCATAATTGTTTTTAAAATTTGAATATAGATATATACTTTTTTCTACAAGCTTTATGCACATAAAGATCATGATTTGGCACCAACAGTTGTGTGAGGAAGATGGAAACTAATGTTTTAACACAGTTCTTTCTTGATTCACAGTACTTTTGGGAGGAAGTACAATGAGCGTGAAACAAAGTTGCTTTTTGTTTGATCAAAAAGTTCTGTTGGGTTGATCAACAAAATCAACATTTTGTGTTAGCTGAACATTTATTTTTAGAGTAAGGCTGGGGTGAAATTCTCAAAAAAAAGTAGAGGTACTCAGCTGGGTAAAGTGGACCTGTTTTTGTAAAAGAAAAACAAAAATTATGTGTAAACATAAAAAATGACAAAGCAGCTCAAATATGTCCCAGTGCTAGTACTGCCTTAAAAAATAAGTTCTGGTATTCAGTACCAGCCAGTACTGGCAGAATTTCATCCCTGGTATAAGGTCAAGATGTTCTTTTTTGTGTGCTTTTTCAAGGTTGTTAATTGTTCGAATGAATGTGTTTTAGAGCACGAAACAATATGGGACTGTGTTTCTAAATAGTGTTACGTCTCCATTTGTTAATTAATTTTCCGTAAATTCGTTCCGACGAAACTTTAGCGACACAAGACCTTTCTTAAATAAAACTGGTTTATTCTTTCCGAATACAACTTTACGAGACACTTAATTTCAACAGTCGCTCTGTAACAAACGCTATAATTCTCACGTGCTTAACAATATTCTCTCTGACTGCAGTTCAATTACTCATTCACTGTTGTCCCGTCACATTGTGACCGTCTTATATATATATATATATACAAGACTAACACATATCCAGTAAATGCTAGG